AAACAAATAAACAAACGTAGAAAGAGAGATATTTTAAAGAACAATAAAAGAAGGCTGTAGTTCGTATAAGGCGAAGGTTCTAAACAGTCAACGTAAGGTGCACCTTTAAATGGTATGGAAAGATGTTTTAGTACTAGAAATCTTTGTCATGGTCTGAAAATGTATTTTCATATCTAAGTTTTAGATATGTTTTATTATAAGATTTAAAGCATTTAAAAGATCTATGAACGCATAAAAATCATGAATATTGATGATGCAAAAAATGAATTACAAGATGCACTATTTTCAAGATTTAGAATCTATTTTTTTTTGTGTCCATACATCTTGAAGTTAAGATGATAGATCGATTTGAAGATTTTTGAGTACCAAAAACAACTTCTTCTAGTGAATTTTCGAGGTGCGCTTAAATTTAATAGCTTAGAGCCTTACCCTTATATAAACGTTTTTCATAAAAGAATGACTCGTCAAACCAAATCTCGTATTGCTCCCAGATTGATTGGATTGGGGTTGGCCAATGGTAGAAATTTGGTAAAATAATTATACAAAATTAAAATCGATGGAGCTCAGAAGGCGTTTACCAGGATTAAGTGGGTTAATGGGCTGGGCAGGATTCAGGCCAAACTCTCGGGCTTGTGGGCTAGTTATACCAAATCTCGGATTACTCCTCATACCAAATCTCGGAACTTGTGCCTCAAATTACTCGTCACACCAAAATCTCGTCATACCAACTCTCTAATTACTCGTCACACCAAATCTCGGGACTGTGCCTCTAATTACTCGTCAATACCAAATACTCGTCATACCAAATCTCTAATTACTCGTCATACCAAACCTTGGAACTGTGCCTCTAATTGCTCGTCATACCAAATCTCGGATTGCACCCAGATTGATTGGATTGGGGTTGGCCAATGGTAGAAATTTGGTAAAATAATTATACAAAATTAAAATCGATGGAGCTCAGGAGGGGTTTACCAGGATTAGGTGTGTTAATGGGCTGGGCAGGATTCAGGCCAAACTTTCGGGCTTGTGGGCTGGGCCCTGTAGTTCAGGCATATTTTCAAGCTCGGTATAGGCTAATACGAATCTGGCCTAAATCTTTTCACAAGCTGTTTTGAATTTTTTTTTTTATTGTTGACAAAAATTTTATTGAGTAAACGAAAAGAATACAACGGCAAAGTCAAAAAGCAAAAAAAAAAGAAAAAAAAAAAAGAGAAAAAGGAAAGAGAAAAGAGGAGAAAAAGGAGATGGAGAAAGAAGAGAGGGATGAGAAGAAAGTATAGCGATCTGCTTCTCCATTCCTTTCTCAATAACCATGAGAGAAAATGACGGACAACAAGAATCGCATCTCATTCATTATTGGGAGCATCTGACATGAAGCCAAAGGGGTTTCTATTCCATCAAATGACATATGCCCAATCCCCCACTCTTATCACTCTTTTGAGTGAAAGTAAGTTTCCTTACTCTTCTAAGAGCCCAAAGCTTTGCCCCATTTATTTCGCAGAAGTGTATCGTTTCGAGATAAAAACATAAAACACTCCCCTGAGGATCCCTTAACAGACCCCGATATCCTGCTACTTGTACGTCTCCACGGACACTACCATCAAAGTGTAGGTTTTCATTCGAGGTTCCGAACTAGAAGATCATGCAATTCTTTTGGTCCTAACCTGTTAGTATTTTTGGTATTTAAAAATACCTGTATGTATTTCAAAATAACATCTTGGTTTTGTGTTTGTTTCCTAATTTGCTTTTGTAGAGAGAGAGATGTGGGTTTGAGTCCCACATTGAGGAGAGAGTTTGTTGAGGTGTAATTAAGAATATGTATTCTCATGTGATAGGCTTTAACTACAAAGGAGAGAGAAGGTGTATGTGCGGAGCATATGAAGTGTGCATGTGCGAGAGCGTGAGCATACAAAATAGCTTAATGGCGCACTTCGCATGAGATGCCCCTCACCCGAGCACTTGTTCGGGCTTGTGGCTCATTATTTTTTTATGAGCCTAGCTCATAGGGGGATCCAACAATTATCTAGCCATTGATGCGTGGGCGCAAAGTCACTTGATGGCGCACTTCGCAAGAGGTGCCCCTTGCCTGAGCAGGTGTGCGGGTTGGGCTCGTGGCTTGTTGTGAGCCCAACTCGTAGGGGGATCCGACAGTCATCTGCGTGTGGAGCATCCAACGGTCATCTAGCTGTTGATGAAATGGATGCTTGTATACTAGCTGATAATGAGATAGAGGCTTGTAACAGCTGCTATCAAGTGCATGTAACTTGTTGCCGATGGGATCCACTTGTGTTTTTTTTTTTTTAACGATAACATAAAGCATCCATTGATCAAAGAAATAAGACGTGTCATTGTCGAAAGGAAAATACAAGGTGTGTTGCATTGAGAAGCACTAGCCAAAGAATTGCCTAATTTTTTCTAATATAAGCTAATTCCATCGAGATAGTTTCTTTTATCCAGGGGCACTGCAAAAATAGATGGATGTTATATAGGTTTTCTGAAAACTTGTTTCTGTGATTACCTGGGGCCTGGCTCCATTTTTTTGGTTCGACTCTCACTACCTCGATTTTATGCTGGGCCCAAAATCCAATTTCCAAGACCAGGCTGGGACTACATTCACACCAGGTTCTGTTATGAACAGGCCCGACCCGTTAACAACCCTGACCAGGATCACCCTCCTACGAAATCGGATCATCATAGAGGATTCTCAATTTGAGGTAGCTGGATTTTAAAAAAATTTCCCCTACAAATGGCCTCTACAAAAGCGCAGATTACCGTTGGTAAGTCCGTTTCATTTTCGCCCAAAAGTGTCCGTTTCATTACTCCTAAAATGAGAAAATTACCCTATTTCAAAATCTTAACGACGAAAGGATTTAAATAGGATGAAGTTTTTATAGGGCATAGGCCTTATGAAAACAAAATAAAGCTCCACCTCAAATCTTAGTTTTTGAAAAGCACTTTTAGCAAAATCTTCATTATAGCTCTAAATCAATTTCCATCATCAACAATGAAACTTGAAGCTAGGCCATTCATTTTGGTAAGATGTTTAGATCTAGGCCATAGAAGAATTTTTTAATTTTCAATTTTTTTGGGTGGATTTATTATATCATTAGATGAACAATGTTAAAAAAAAAAAAATGATTTTGAGCCTATAAAAGCTAAGATCTTGAAATTCACAAAATGAATGGTCTAGATTCATTTTTTGAGAGGACTTATTTTCACCATATCTAGGGTTTAAATTGAAATTTTTTTTTGGAAGGATTGATTATTGAGATGAATATAGTGTGTATACAAAATTTGAAGTCAAACAAATACTACAAACATGATTTTTTAGAAGTATCGTTGTATTATACTATGATACAATTGTTGCATTAGATCATTGCTCTTTAATAACGGCCCCATCAAACTAGTTTGGGATGATTTCCAAGAATCCAAAAAATACAGTGCACATTGACCGGTAGTTGCCAAGATCCGTCTCGGCATCCCAAAATTTATTTGATGAGAAAGAATCCTATGATATGATGCTTGACCTAAAATTAAACAAGGAAAATTATGATAATGCCCTTAACTCCATTTTTATACTTTCCTACATGAAAAGAGGCCCTCTGCCATGACCTATCAAAATGCTTTTTTCATGTGCCTTTACAATAAAGAGAAATAGAAAAGTACCCAATGAGATCATTTACCTATTATATAAGGTGGTCGCATTAATCTTGACCATTGGATGTGAGATTAAGTGGTTACAATTATTCCATTGAATAAGTTTAAACTTCAAATTATTATTTTTCGAACTGATACATCCAAAGAATAAAATTTGTTTTTAAATGATTGTAAAAAATTGTGACCATTTTATATGAAAAGTAAATGACGTCATTATATACAAAACCCAAAGAAATTATGACCACTTCCGACTTTCGTGGAATGGTGGTAAGAAATTGTGAACACTTTCGTCGAAAGGACATGCCGTGGATGCTTGGTGAAAGGTTTTCTCCCCTTCCAAATGCCGATCATGACTGGTTCCCGAAAATACCGCAAAACCGCGTACAGAGAATACATCAAGAAGGAAAAAACATTATTATGTACTGGGGGAGTGATAAATAAACGGTCAAGATTTCATGTCATTTTGATTAGACTGCAAATACAATGGGTACAAATAGTAATCGACTATTATGTCAAAATAGGATATACAGTGCTCCGGCGGGATCATATACTGCACCTACTGCACATCTACTCCCTTCGTCAAACCACCTAGCTAGGTTACTTTTTCAGGTCCAGGTCTTTAGGAACCATATAACAATATTAGATGATGGGTGCAGTTGGCATACTGATGCATATGTAGCTGTAGAGGTAAGGTGCACCTTCAAATTTTATCATGATATATAATTATGATGTAAAATGTTATTAAGATTATCTCAAAGATCTATTTTTATATCTAATTATAAAATTTTAAATTTAAAAAATGATTAAAATAAAGTAGATCTATAAACATATAATTTTTTTGAAAATAGACGGTGTAGATAATATGTTGTAAAATATTCTAGATTTAAAATCTTTTTATTTTTCATGGTGATACATTTTGATGTCTAGATGATCAATCAAAGGGTTTTACATTAAAACTACCTTTTGAAGTGCATCCGTAGTTCTACATTATAAGGTTGCATCCTTACATAAATTTTTTCCCTAGAGGATGAACTTTGAGATCGAAAAGATATCTTTGCAAGAGGGAGGAAATGAATAGTATAGTCCTTAGAGAAGAGGAAATATTTTAGCATAACTTAATATTTTTGAAAGAAGGTTTATTTCCAGATCTCAAAACTTGGGCATGAGGAAATAGAGTTCTCTCCCTTTCCATGAAGTTTCATAACTCGTAGGTCTACACACAATTACTTCCCCCCACCTCTCTCTCTCTCTCTTAATTCTAATACCTTCTTCCCCACCTTTTTGTGAGTATAAAGGCAAGTTTCCTCTAATTTTCCCGCTTATTCCCCCTCTCTCTTCTTCTACTTCCCCATTCGCTAGTTTCTCTGTCTCTCTAGAGTTGTTGTTGAAGATGCGGGATTTGTTGAACTGCCTCTTGGGCAGAAGGAGAGCACGTCCATTAAAGGGCTCAACAATGAAAGGATCGGTGGTGCTTCAGAAGAAAAATGTTTTGGATTTCAACGATTTCCATGTATCCTTCCTCGATAGCTTGCATGAGTTCTTGGGAAAACGGGTCTCTCTGCACCTTGTGAGCGCCACTCATGCTGATCCAGGTACTAATATAACCCCCCTCTCTCTCTCTCTCTCAATGCACAGTGGATCAACTCTCTCTCTCTCTCTCTCCATGCACAGTGGCTCAACTCTCTCTCTCTATCCATGCACAGTGGCTCAACTCTCTCTCTCTCACAACAAAATGCAAAAAAAAAAAAAAGAAAAAAAGAAAAAAAAAGGGGGTCCTGGACTCCTTGCATGTTGTGAGACCAGTCAACGCGTTCCACCTGTAAACCTGCAACCTTTTCTCTCTGACCCAGCTGCAAACCCTGCCACCTCTCTCTCTCTCTATGACCCAACTGCAAACCCTGCCACCTCTCTCTCTCTCTCTCTCTCTGTCTCTCTTTCTCTCTCTAAAAATCTGAGTCAGGTGCTATGGCTGGTGTCATTTGCTTTGATTTCAGAGAGGGGATTGAAAGGTAAGCTGGGGAAAGCGGCATACTTGGAGGAATGGGGCAAGAAACAGGTGGGTCTTGCTGTTGGGGAGGCCCAATTCACCGTCGATTTCGAGTGGGACGAGAGCTTTGGTACTCCTGGTGCCTTTGTAATAAGGAACGAGCATCATGGTCAGTTCTATCTCAAGTCCCTCACTCTACACCATGTTCCCGGGAAGGGCAGGGTTCACTTTGTCTGCAACTCTTGGGTTTATCCCTCCAAGAAGTACACATCCGATCGCATCTTCTTCTCCAACGAGGTAGGCTCAGAGAGAGAGAGAGGGTTTTTGACAGTGGGTTTAGAGAGAGAGAGAGAGTGTTTTGACAGTGGGTTTTGATTTGTTTTGTTGTAGAGTTATCTCCCTGGTGAGACACCATTAGCATTGAAGAATCTCAGAGAAGAGGAACTGTTGAACTTGAGGGGAAATGGAGTTGGAGAGCTTAAAGAGTGGGATCGAGTTTATGACTATGCTTATTACAATGATCTTGGCAAACCAGATGATGGTCCTGACCTCGTTCGTCCTGTTCTTGGAGGTTCCGTAGAGTTCCCCTACCCTCGCAGAGGAAGAACAGGACGACCGCCCACAAAAACAGGTGAAATCAGACCTCTCCCTCTCATTTATTGTGCATGGAAGCTCTAAACCAAACAGTAGCGGTTCAGGCTTTTAAGGACTTTGAAGTCCTGGAAATGACGAATGAATCCTAACAAGAAAACAATAACAAGAAGGGTGCGGTGCGGTTTCTATAAGGTTGCAACTTTAAACAATCCAATTAAGGCACACCTCCAACTTTTATCATAACATAATATGTAATTTTTGTTAAAAAAATATCTTAGGATTATCTCAGAATCCATTTTTATATCTAATTATCAAATTTTAAACTCCAAAAAAGGTTAAAATCAAGTAGATTTATAAACATATCAAAACATTAAAAATGGATGGTCTAGATAATGTATTTCAAGATATACTATTTTTAAGACTTTTATTTTTTATTTTTTATATTCATACATTTCAATGTCAAGATGATCAATTAGAGATTTTTTCAACATTAAACATCGTTTTCCAATAGAGTTTTGAGGTGCATATGTATTCTCCATTTTAAGGTTGCAACCTTCTATACCTAACAAGAAACCTAATCGAAATGACAATAACAAGAAAAAGAAAACAATAAAAAGAAAACAATAACAGGAAACCTAATCGAAATGACAAAAGAAAATCTCACATGACGAAAGAAAATCTCACATTTGTTGTGATTTATGATTTTTTTTGTTTTAGATCCCAAGATCGAGAGCAGATTGCCATTGCTAAGTCTTGACATTTATGTCCCAAGAGACGAGAGGTTTGGGCACCTGAAGATGTCTGATTTCTTGGCCTATGCTTTGAAGTCCATTGTTCAGTTCTTGGTGCCTGAGATAAAGGCCTTGTTTGATAAAACACCAAAGGAGTTCGATAGCTTCGAAGATGTGATGAAGATGTACGAGGGCGGGGTCAAGTTGCCTGAAACTCAAGCCCTTGACACATTAAAAGGATTGATCCCTTTCGAAATGATCAAAGAACTTCTTAGAACTGATGGAGAGAGATTCCTCAACTACCCATTGCCTCAAGTCATACAAGGTAAAACTCTAAAACCATGACAGAGAGAGAGATCCTTTAGTTGTGACATGTTTCATTTTGAAAGATGAGCATTGTGAATAAATTATAAAAGAAAAAGGTTATATAAGGGTGAAGCCCTACAAAATTAAATTAAAGCGTGCCTCAAAAATTCACTAGAGGG